AGGTGAAAGCTATAGTGGAAGAAACTTCTCTGTTGCTTTCTAACATTCTGTCTACCAGTCAGAACCATCCGGGAAGGGTTCCAAAGCGTCTTGCTTCCCATTAACGTAGTATTCTACAACAGCTTTCATCCTAGGAAACTTATCTGGATGGTAATTCAGGTGAACAATTACCGGCTTCAGCTGTTTTAACTTAGCATCTTTCCTCACAGTCTTGAAAAGCACCTTGCTGTTCATAAATAGATAATAATCCATAGTTCTCCTCGCAGCATGAAGCCCGTCATAACCTGGGTGGGACGGGAAGTGGAGCTCCTCGTTAAAAACTGCTTGATCCCACGAGTTTGGCTCACGAGATAACCTCCCAGCAACTCGATCCAACAGCTCAATTGCTGGTAAAGTAGGTCTCATGTAAAAAAACCCAGAGTTGTAAACCCATATCCTCATCGTATGAGCATACCGAGCCCACCCCATTGCAGGCTCATCAAAGACATCATTGAAACCGTACGCTGTCCTGTTGTCATGGCCATCGGTCATGGACTCCACGTCGGAGTCTCGGTACAGGTGATGAAATGGATTCTGGAGAAACACAATGTCAATATCAGAGAGCAGGACGCTGTACCCCAGCTGGAGAAACTCCCTTAATACTCGGAATTTCAATCCGGAGACTGCATGGTTTCCACCAGTCCTTGCTATCGAGTCAACACCTTCATCTGGATCCCTTTTATAGACTGGAACACCATTCGATTTGCAGAAATCGACGATGTGATCATCGAGTGCCACAACAAGGTAGTTCGGTATGCCAACCCTTTTGATGTTGGTGAACCAAACCTCTAACATTTCTTTCACATTTGAATTTGCTAGAGCAACGATGACCTCATTCTGGACAGCGATTTCCTTCAAGAGTTTTGACAGCCGAGGATTGACTGATTCGTCTGGGAGCACTGCGAGATTAGTTCTTAAGCTCTTGACGGTGCCAAAAGGCCCGGCTTTCTGCTGTTTGCCTAGAAGCAGAACTTGCTTCTGTGCATGATCTTTTTCTTGTTCAGCCATCTGCAGCTTCTCGTTGAGCTCCCTGGCTTGTTTCTTCAACAGTGCATTGCTCTCTGTTAGGGATACTATGTCTGATTTCAGCATTCTAACTCTGTCGGGTGATTCGCAGGAACTGGCAGCCTGAAAATAGAAATATTCTCAGTTTTTCCCCCCAACTTGGCTATCCTAAGTAAGTTATCAGCACAGCACGATACAATGGAAAAGGAAATCAAAGAACAAAGATTCCGTTAATTCTTTAGAAACCTGTCCTCTTTGTTACTAAAATTTGAAAGAAACTGATTGTCCTGCATAAACTCATTCACCAGACAAATTCTAGGTCGATGGACTCAAATGTAAAAGAAGAAGCAAAAGGCAATTCCACAGAAGAAGAGCGTAATTAGAGCAGAAAGCCCTCGAATTTCAGAGCGCCACCGATGGGGAAACAGAGTCGAAGTGAAGGGGAGACTTGAAATGGAGCTGGATTAGGGTAGAGGATTTGCGAACCTGGCGATCTGATTTGGCAGTTCGACGAGTTGTCGCATTGGCCGGATCGGAGCTAAAGAATCCGCGAGGATACAAGAGGGCGAAAACGCAACCGAGAAGAATTCCGACGACAATGGCTACGAGGACGGGAGATCCGCGAAACGACTGGGGTTTCTCTCTGCGAATCGCCATTGCGAGCGGGGGTTCAAACCCTTTCGTCTAGCTCTCAGTACTCCCAAAAACGAGATGGATCTAGAGAGGGAGAGCGAAAGGATCGCGCTCAGTGCTTATTCATCTTGCTTCGGATGTTACAGAGCAGATTCAGGGAGCCATGTGTTGTGGAAGTTTATCATCCGACGACTGTGTTCTCACCCAGAAACGACGACCAGAAATTAAGGAGGGAAAGGAGAAGGAAAAGGAAAAGGAAAATGGGAAAAGATTTTCTCAGATGCCAAACAGAAGATGCACTAGCTAAAGTGCTAGACTAGCACCAGGCGGCAATAGTTTCCCGCAACAGGAAAATTTCAACAAACAAAATGGAAAAGAGAAAACGCACCAGTAGTCGTCGTGCTGAGAAGTTGGTTTTCTTATTCCTTTGTTTGGGTTTTTCCTTCTGTGTCGTTAAACGATGGGCATCGATTGTGTGTGTCACAGCAACACTCTTTCTCTATGATATTCAAAATTATGGCCTTTGCTTGTAAGTAGGGATGGCTAGGGCTGTCAATTTGGTTTGGTTTGGTTTGGTTAACCAAACTATTAAGTATGAAAAACTAAAAACCAAATCTCAAAAACCAAAAAACCAACATGTACTCATACACTCATATTTATTCCTATTTTCCTCCTTTTTATTGAATAAACGTCATAATAATGGTAAATGGCCATAACAAATTATTAATTGGCATGCGTGTAAAAAAAAAAAAAATATTTGTTGATAAATAATTGGTTTCTTAATGGTTTCTATTGGTTTTCGGTTTTAACCAAACCAAAACCATTAAGTTGCTTATTGGTTTAAAACCAAAAAACTGAAACCATTAGCTTTCCAATTGGTTTGGTTTCGGTTAAAACCAAAAAACCAAAACCAAATGGACAGCCCTAGGGAAGGCAATGGGTCGGGTTGGATCGGGTTTTGTCAAATCCAAACTCAAACCTATGGGTTTATCCGTGAAAAAAATCTGGGGTAAAATCCACTGGATTTGAAAAATTCAAACCCAACCCAACCCGTTGGGTATCCGCAGGTTCATGGGTACCCACGGGTTTTTGTCCTAAAATTTATATTTTTATACGAAAAATATCATTGGAAAATTACATTTTGGTACCTAAATTTGTTCATTATGACATTTTAGTACCAAAACTTTTCAAATTTTACATTTTGGTCCTAGCCTTGGATGTCATTTGGATTCATGGATCAATCCACCAATCCATTGGATCCAATCCCTTTGATCCATGGATCCACCAATCCAATCCACGAATCCACGAATCTGATCCAATTGCCACCTCTAATCCCTACGATTTAATTCAACTCTTGTGGCCAACAACTAACGGAAAAAGAGTCTGTAATATTTAATGTCCATCAAAACTGCATATTGGCGAGCTGCATCAGTATTTTCGTTAAAAATATGTTATCGTACAAACTGAATCTATATGTTTTATGTTGTGGTACGAATTCGGTTTGTACCTATAATTTTTTCGTACAAATTTCTTTATGATACAAACTGAATTTCTACTTTTAACATTGTGCTACAAATTCAGTTTGTACTTATACATTTTCTTACAAATCATATATGGTACAAACTAAATTTGTAACTTCAATGCTGTAGTACAAATTCAATTTTATACCTGGAAGTACCACTACTCATATAAGTAATGTAACATTCTCCATTCTTATAACATATATGAATTTTTATAAACGACCTAATGGGTTATATATATTTATAGTACCGATGTAAACAACATACATGCGAAATCATTATTAATAAGGTCAAACCATATTCCATAAGTACGTGTTCAATAACTCACATCTCTTTATAAAAAAAAAAAAAAAACTCACATGTCACATCTCACATCTATATTGTCACATATCCGCTAATCAATCTTTCTTTCCCTCGTCTGACTCGTCAATTAATTAATCCATATTTCAAAAGGAAAACAAATCTCTGAACAAGAAAACCCACAGCTAGCCTCGCACAGGGAGAGTTTCCTAAAATGACAATGAAATCACTCAACTCAAGTTGTTTGAAATCCAAATCTCCACCCTAAGCCCTAAAAAAAACTAGTATAAATAATGAATTTCTCCAAGAAGCCTTAAAATCAACCACCTCAAATATTACTCCTTCATCTTCAACCTAAACTTTTTCATACAACAATGGCGAACACCAATTCTCTGACTAAGAAAAAACAGCTTCATATTCTTATGGCGATATGCCTCGTCGTGGCCATGCTATTCTCCCCAAACATCATGCATTCGTCTGAAGCTTCTCGCCGCGTGCAGCCGACCCAACGACCTCCAGGTACATATAAACCATATATATATAGCATTAGCTACTAGCTAGTAGTTAATTAATTAAGTTAGTATGGTTTGATTTTTGAGGCGAAATAGTTGATTAAATCATGAACTATTGTTGATTAATCTGGTGGGCTATCAGGTTTGACCTTCGTGCCACCTGCGTGCCGAGTTTGCACGTGTTGCCACGCCGACCCACACGGAGTCTGCTGCAAAGACTGCTGCTGATTGCATGTTATTCGCGAGATTGTTGGGAGTCGATGGATCGTTTACTAATTATAAAGGCCTTCACATAAAGTTGAAGTCGCTACATATATGAAATGCATTTTAATTCGCACACTTTCATGCGATGTTACAACATATATATAAAAAAATAAAGGAATTAAGGTATTGTGATAGTTTGAGGTGGGAGAACAAGAAAGGGTCTTCCGAATTATGTAAGTTTTACGAATTTTCTTCTTTCAATGTAGTCAATTATGTACCAAAAACACTAATGAATAAAGGACTAGATTCCATCTTTCAGAGAATTTTTACTAAGAATGCAACATGTCAAGTTTTAGAGAATAAGAACACAAACAAACATCAACAAACCTTATTCAATATATAATGCAAATAACAATAGTGCAATTGGAAGTGGGCCGGAGTTACGCTAGAGTTTTTTGAGAAGGAAAAAAACAACGGACTCTCTGCGAGTGGGTTGTATCTTTCGCCCTGTGCGTGCTGGCCGATAAAAAAAAAAACTCATCTCACTCTAGTGCAATTATGATCAGGGCTGGAAGTTTAGTACCGGTATTTGGGATATACCGAATACCGTACCAAATTTATCACTATTTGGTATTATCGAATACCGATTTACTTTTTAGGGATTGGGATTAGGATTCATTTTGGAGTGCTATTCGGTATTCGGTATTCAGGATTGGGTTTGGTATATACCGAAATACCGATAAATATAAAAAATTATAAATATAGCATACAACCTTTGGTCGTTCCTCACTCTTTTAAAACTTAGAAGCCCCTATCTAACTCAATTTTAACTTTCTAGTTTAAGTCGCTCTCTTCTCTCACCTAATCTCTTGTTGTTTTCATAACACCGAAATGCAAACGCTAGTATTAGTCGTCTCTCAGCTTCCAATTCGTCAAATTAAAGATTACCAATGTCAAGAATTTGAGATGTCACCTCTCATCAATTCTTCTTATCCATATCCTAGCTCTAGGCAAAATCAAGACTCTTTTCTTAGTCTTTTTGCCCTAAAGTAAACAATCAAATCTAATTTATATATTTGATTATTAATTGCCTAGATAATTAATTTGGTGTTCGATACTACTGATTGGGATACCGAAATATTTAGAGATTGGGATTGAGATACCGAAATTATTTAGGGATTGGGATTGATTTTAGGGTGTAATTCGGTATTCGGGATTTTGATATTTTGTATTGGAATACCGATATCGTACCAATTTCCACCAGTAGGGACGATGATGCAAAGGGGGACGACAACTTGGCAGGGGTCGCGCTGTCGCGGGGGAGGGCGATGGCGGACTGGGCGACTAGCGGTGGTTGATGATGGACCCTGGGGGATTGCAGGAACCGACGGAGATGGAGATGGTGGACTGGCGAGTTAGCGGCCGGCGAGGGAAGTCTCGGAGGGCGGAGGTGGTTGCTGCGGGAGCCGGCGGTCGAAGGGTTGGATCGCAGGAGGGTCGCCGGGGATCGCGGGGTCGACGGGAGAAGGCACTCGTCGGGCTTCGCCGATGGTTTGGCCGTCTGGACTGGAGGGTGTTGACGGCGGGGGTTGAGTAGTCTGTGGTGAGCGAAGGGAACGATTGAGGAGGTCGACGAAGGAGGAGGATAAGGTTTGGGACTGGGCGAGCTGGATAGTTTGTTTGGGTAAACGTCGTCGTTTATGGTAGGACGATCGGTCGGTTAGCTTTGGTTAGCCGATTAACCGGCTTCGGTTACTCGGCTAACCGAAGCTCCCACCAGACACGTCGGCCACCGACCGAGATTGAAAACAGCCGGTTTTCGATTAGCCGCTAACCGATGGTTATCGGTTAACCGGCCTGTTAGTTACTAACCGACAACCGAACTGCCACCCCTAATTGTGACAATGTATGGTTTACGATAAAATATAGCTGCCTACTGATAATTGGGAATTCATGAATTTACAATACGACATAATTAACTAATTACTTATTGACAATTAGGAAAAAGCAAGTTATGGGTTGAGTGACCACACATGTACAACCTCTGGATTCATTTTATCCACATGGAAGGATGATAAATTTTTTATTGTAGTGTCTAATTATGCATACCAACAACATAAGGAACATAATTGAGTTTAGGAAATAGGAGGATAAGTTAAATTTAAGAACAATTTAAATTCATGAGATTAATAATTTGAAATTATAATATTAAAATAATGAATGAATCATTGTCAATTAAATTTGTATGAAGTTTTTCAGATATATAATTGCAACAACATGATCGACATACTCAATTTAGTTGGTATAAACATTTTATATTATACGATATTTTATGAATACTACTCAAACATGGGTCTTCTTGGTATCCGTGTTTGAAAGTATTTATATTAACTTCAATCCGTCATATATGAAATTAAATTTCAGATTTTTAATTATCCAAACAACACAAGAAATTCAACAAACTGGATCATAATTTCATATTACAGTTTTTCATGGCCAAATGTCAAATTCTCCAATTCCATTAACTCCTAATGTTGACGTATGATTTAATCACACTCTATGACAAATTTATGCAACTTCTAACTCAATAAATATAATGATTCGTTTATTATTGTATTTTGCTTTTTTATCGTACTTCTTTTTTATTTAAGGGTGAACTGTTTCATTCAAACACATAAAAAAAACTTTGTAATAAAGATTTAACATCGAGGCCAAACAAGAAAATATCACACGAATCACAAGGCTTACGCTACTTTCAAGTTACCTTTATAGGTTTACTCATATTGAGATGGTAGCTTTTAAGGCTAATGAATGAATTTTGCATGTGATTATCCCAAATGTGAGAAATGTTTGTTTTGCCTTCTTAAATTAATTAGAGGCTAAATTAGTAAAATCTCATGTTTAAACTACATGGTTTGATGAAAAATTAATGAAATATTGTTAAAAAAGTTATTCATGACTAAGCGCGGACCAATTAACTAGTTATTAGTAATTAATAGAGTAAGTAATCAAGCCAGTGGATTGAGTAGTGCTAATCTGAGGAGATAAATCGATCATATTTTAGATTTGAAACTTGTGATCAACAACAATGAAAAAAATAATAAGTAATGTTTAATTGTGCCTTACACTTTTATTACAAATTCATTTATGGTACAAATTGAATTTGTACCTTCAACGAACGTTATCATACAAATTCAACTTGTACATGAAAGCAGCATCCCTTATGAATATTGTAAAATTGCCATTCTTATAACATATTAATTTTAATAAACCACCTAACGTGTAATATATATAGCACCGGTATAAACAATGCATGTGCAAAATCATTATTAATAACGTTAAACAATATTCCATAAGTACGTGTTCAATAACTCACATCTCACATATATAATGTCACATATACGCTAATCAATCTTTCTTTTCCTCGTCTGACTCATCAATTAATTAATCCATCTTTCAAAAGGAAAACTAATCTCTGAACAAGAAAACCCACAGCTAGCCTCGCACAAGAAGAGTTTCCTAAAATGACAATGAAATCACTCTACTCAAGTTGTTTGAAATCCAAATCTCCAACCTAAGCCCTAAAAAAAACTAGTATAAATAATGAATTTATCCAAGAAGCCTAAACATCAAAACCCACAACCACCTCAAATATTACTCATCTTCTTACCCAAAAAAAAAATGTATGGTGGTGAATTCGGTGCACTCACGTTTTTTGGGTGCACTCAGTGTACCCGTCTCATAATTGTCATTATGAGCATGTGATTCATGTCAAAACGGTATCAATTGTTGCTTATGATATTATGAACAAGAAGCACATGAATTTGAAAAAAATTCATTCAAAAATTACTTTAATTCGAAGGATTTAGGATTTAGGGATTTAGGGTTAGGGTTTAGGTTTACAATTTGGGATTTTGGGTTGGAATTCAAAATTGAAGGTTAAGGTGTTAGGTTAATAGATTGATTTGTTATGATTCTATGTCATATCATCATATTAGATTGACAGTACTAATTAAAGTTCAAAATTTGATGTATTATGGACACTTTTAGAGTTGGTTGCACTGAGTGCACCCAAAAAAGTGAGTGCGCTGAAATAGCCAATATATATATATATATATATATATTACTCATCTTCAACCTAAACTCTTTCATAAAACAATGGCGAACACCAATTCTCTAACTAAGAAAAAACAGCTTCATATTCTTATGGTGATATGCCTCGTCGTGGCCATGCTCTTATCCCCAAACATCATGCATTCGTCTGAAGCTTCTCGCAGCCTGCAGCCGACCAACGACCTGCAGGTACATACACCATATAGTTAGCTAGGAGTTGATTAATTAAGTTCCATTTGATTTGATTATTTGAGGCGAAATAGTTGATTAAAATAATGAATTATTGTTAATTAATATGGTGGGCTATCAAGATTGACCTTCGTGCCACCTGCGTGCCGATTTTGCCCGTGTTGCCATGCCGACCCACACGACGTCTGCTGCAAAAACTGCTGTTGATTGCATGTTATTCACGAGATTATTGGAAGTCAATCGATGGGTCGTTTACTAATGATAAAGGCCGTGACATAAAGTTGAAGTCCCTATATATATGAAATGTATTTTAATTCGCACACTTTCATGCGATGTTACAACATATATAAAATAGTTTGAGGTGGGATAACAAGAAAGGGTCTTCCGAATCATGTAAGTTTTACAAATTTTCTTCTTCCAATGTAGTCGATTATGTACCCCAAAAACACTAATGAATAAAGGACTATATTCCATCTTTCAGAGATTTTTTTACTAAGAATGCAACATGTCAAGTTTTAGAGGATAAGAATACAAACAAACAACACAGACCTAAGAAACTAAACCTGAAACCAAAGCCCAAAAAACATTCTAGAGGCCCAATAGGGACCAGACATAGGCCTGACCCAAACCCAAACCTCAAACCCTAGATGTCAACATTTGTCAAAGGAACCACACCGCCACTGGCAGCAAACAGCAGCACCTCCTCCCTCTGTCGGTAGCCAAGGGGCGATAATTAATCGAGCACCCCGAAGGAACAACGAAACTCACAAACCTGAATGGAGGAAAGAGGAAACTGATGACACTTTATTTATAGTGTTTGTCACTCCCATTCTTGATACATTTTCCACTTCTTCAATACACCTTCGGTAATTACAATGGTATTTCTTATCTATATCACAACTATTTGATCAATGATTTTTTAATAAACCAGACAATGTTCTTGTACTCTTTGATGCCTTCTTGTTATGTTTTTGTTATGATTTTGAATTTACAAAGCAATCTAAGGATGATTGGACCAAACATTGAAGAACTATGGAGGACCAAATGAGCTATCAAGAGAAGATTAAGGAGCTTTCATGAGAAAGAAGAAGTCCAATGACGGGTAAGTCCACTACAAGTTGCTACATTATCACAAGACGATCCCATAGGAAGAAGACTTGGCCTATTTGGACAAAGGAACGAACGACGACCCAAACAACATGCCAACAGCCGCCATGTGAACCATCATAAGTTACAACCAAATCATCAAGAGAAGAAGTCCATGGACCAGAAAGCCCAACCCACGAAGAAAATGAGCAGGGGGTCCAATTGTCACCCTACAGCTGCTTCTCCCTTGCGTTGTTGAAGAAGTTTCCTTAGTCTATAAGTTTTAGGAGACTCTTTCCTAGTCGGTTTAGGTTGTTTTAGGCTAACATTTTCCCTTATGAATAGAGGGCACGACCCATTAGCTTGGTTAGTAAGGCTGCACAAACACAAATTCTCTATAACACTCTACTAGAGTGCTTAGTCTAATCGAAGTAGAGAGGTCTGCAGCTAAGGAGATGTTGTCATCATCAATATTGGTGGAACCTTCCTCATTCTCTATGTAGCTAGTAGATATTGATTGTGTTAGGATGTAATGTGGTTTATTGTTATGTGAATGAATGCTATAATTCATCTCATGCTTGTGTTTGTCTATGAGATTTTAGATGCCTATTGCCTATATAGGGATGATTTTAGTTTGTATGTTTATGTGATGGTCATTATGTTTCTATAGTATGAATGATCTTGTATCATTGATATTTATGATTCTACTGTTATAGTGTGTGCTACTATATGCATTGTGATTTGTATTACCTAGGTTGTCAAGAAATTACCATTTAGGGATACCCCATTGATGCTACATGAGAATGGATGGAATATCAACTATCTATGCTTCGAGTAGTATCACTTCTTGACTGTTAGATTATCGATGATATAGGGTATGTTTATGGTTCGTAGAAGGCCACAATTAAACTATATGCTATCCTAACTTTCTTTTTCTTCAGTGATTAGGTAATGACATGAAGCAAAAGCAAGCATTAGTTATTTAAATCTCTATCGCAAGAGGCGCATGCATGGTTAGAGAGTGGTCCTAGAGTAAGGAATAGAGTGTTGCAATAGATGAACCATCAATTCATGATATGAATGAGCCCTAGTATGCATGATAGTTTTTGAGTTCACTACCTTCTATAATAACGTATCCTTACTTTTATGCGTCTATAAATCAAAAACTCCTAAACAACTTTACTCTTTTTTTGCTTTGCTTGTTTGTTGAATGAACCTAAATGTATTTTTGATTTACATTATGTCATGGATGGTTGATCTGAGTAGTCTTTTTGAACCTAAATGTCTTTACTCCGAGTCCACAGCCTATGACCATATCTCCCTAACACCAAGAGAGATAGTCGAAGAGAGAGGGGAAGAGAAGACAAGCCTAATCCAACACAAATCAGACCTCATTTGCTTCTTAGAGTGAGGAAATCTCCAGATCTGAAAGATTAGAAGGAAAAAGCTCACTCATCCAAGGGGGAGAAATGAGATCCGCATAGGGAAGTAGAAAAGCACAACAAAGGTCGGAAACAACAAAATCATAGAAGGAGGAAAGTATGGAAAACATGAACATAGAAGAGGATAGGAAAAGAAATGAGGTGGTGGAGAAAAAATGAGGAA